AAGTTGAGGGGGAATCGAATCTATATCGTTTTGAAATCAGCATATTTCATTCGATATTTCAAACAGCCAAATATGATGGTGGAGCCGTGACGTATTAGTCCCGAGTTGTAGCTATCTCTCTCTGATACCTCGTCATTCTGCAGTGTTGCAATGTGATTGGTCAGTTCAAGGACAATAGGCGTGTTGGGACTAAGACGTCGCACCAGTCACACCAATGAATTGACAAAATCTCGAATAGCACAGGAATTGTGTGTTTTGAAATGGACATATTCTAATTCATTTTTTTCACCGTCTTAGCATGAATGACAAAATTCAAAATTAATTCACTGGTAGTTTTTCATTATAGAGTTCACGATAATGTCGGTTTAAAAAATTAGTGGTCTCCCCCATTCAAATTTTTTTTCAAAATTTCAGAATTCAAGAATTAATATTCAAAAATTACTAGGCGATTTTAATGAGACCAGGTGAAAACATTTCGTGTGTCATGAATCATCTTCTTTCTTTTTCAGAAATATGAAGAGAGTTTCTGAAATCATTCGTAGAGGGAACGATACATAACTAATCATCAGTTGATCTGTCCAAAATGTCACTTTACGTTGACACATCAAACTTTCAGCAACTTGCATGAGCATCATCACAGATAGTCAGTGAAACTTTGTAGAATTAATGGTTATTTAAAAATCTAAAGAAACACCCCTTTATAGATAGTCAAACTAAAAAGAGGTAGAAAAAAATATAATAAAAGTGTGTTGATGAATACACAACATAAAAAATATTAGCACCTCCGTCATGAGTACATTGTTATTTTATATTCTACCTCTTTTTCGTTTGACTATCTGTAAAAGGGTGTTTCTTTGGTTTTTTAAACTACTATTCATTTTATAGTTTTCAGTTCGGCTAGTTACAAAAGCATGTTCTTTAGTGTTCTTATATCTTTATAAGTACCTACCCAACTGTGACGGAAGAATTATAATTCCCGATCTCGAAAACCCCCGGATACTAATTTTCAATAGAATCGGATCATGATCACGAAATCCGTCCGCCATATTGAATTTTCCAATTTTTATAAACGCTTATATCATAATCTTCCACCCCGATAATAGCCAGGAACCAATTTTGAATAGAATCGGATCATATAATTACAAAACTCGCCTACCATATTCTCCATCTTGAATTTTCCATCCCCAAAAACCTCATCAGATACCAATTTTGAATACAGTTGGATCATAATTACAAAACTCGTCTGCCACATTGAATCTGCCATCTGGAATTTTCAATTTTGACGAAAACCCCCAGATACAAATTCTGAATAGATTCGGATCATAATTACATCTGCCATATCGGGTTCGCCATCTTGAGTTTACCAACTTTGACGAAATAATCATAATCTCCGACCTCGAAAAACTCGTCCTTCATTTTGGATCCGCCATTTTTTTTTTGTCTAACAAACATTTCATGATGCTTTGTTACCAGAATTACATAAATACAGGTGAAGCTAGTGAAAGGGTGTTAAAAAGATACAACATAATGAAGATAATATACCGGGTGACCCGAAACCAATTTACCCTTTCCTGTATTTTTGCTGCTAAGGTGAGTTCCCAATACAGCTCAATAGCTTTTCACGTTACGTATTTGAGAATTGCTGCACTGCTTTTCCATTATCTAAGTCAGTTCCCGATGGAATTGCCAATAATTTTCACTTGGCCTAATGTTTGTATAAAAAAAGCATTGTTGCTATCATCAGCTTGAAAAAAACATAAAAATTGCAGAGAAAAAAGTTGATGATTAAGTAGGTACTCCAGTGATAATGCAATTATTTACTATTTACTAAACATGAGATCAATCTCAGCAGCAACGATCAATACATTTGCACTCAAAATTTAATTTTTCCCTGAAAAACCTCGTGTAGAAAACATGACCGCAACTGGAGCCAAAATCTCAACATAAATGACCAGTCAAAGTGATGAGCCCTTAGCAGTAACGCAAACAAAGTTAAAATAATTTAACTCCATTTTGCGTCGAAGATTCTTTTCTGCAATGAAAACTTACCTTTAGTCTGAAACTTGAAATTCATAATCAGAGTATCAACGAAGATAGAAGATACTCATGGGTGAATTTGGTTCCGGGTAACGTTCCGGGTCATTTGGTAAAAAAAATAAGAAATAAAAATGTAACTTAGCTTTTTGGCTGTACGTTTGGGAACGATCCTGTTTCTTCTTTCAACACAAAAAATTGGACTATTTTTTTCTCCGCTTGTGACTATGTACATACAGTGTGTCCAGTCCACATATCTGACTTATTTTTTTTACGCAAACCGAATTTTCACAGTCCTTCATGTTTTCCAGATACAGGGCGAAGATGGAAATTCTCACTTTCTGAGCACCTCCAGATCTTGGTTACTTTTCAACTAATCGGCAGGATGAGAACAGGGCCTTATATAACTTTCTATGCATAGTACAGTGGCGTACTACTCATGTTTTTTTTCAATCGCCCATTTTTAGAAAATTGAGCAAAAATTGTTTTTTTTACAGAAAAAAAATGGAAACTATTATATATTTTTGATGAGCTATGAGAAATCTCAATAGAACTAGATTGAAATATACAGTGTCCCATTTGAAAATAAATATATTTTGGATCCTTTTTCTAAAAATGAGTACGCCACTGTATATAAGTTATACAGGGTGATTCAGGTTTTAAGGCACAAACTGAAATGGGAGATACATCTCAGTGGGTCAAAGTTCAATTATTTTTTTCTATTAATTAAAATATCTCGCTTATTTTTCAAGTTATCGTTTTGAAATTTGGTGTGGTCAATACTTTCTAGAAGATCATCATTTCAAGCCATTTAAGGATTTTTAAAATCTACAGGGAGATACGTTTCAGGGGGTAGAGGCTTCTTTATCCCCCCCACACTTTTTCGTAGTACGCCTCTGGCATCTTTCAGTGATCAAATTGTGTGGATCGTTCAATTTACAGGCTTTTTCGCTCTTCGATTTTTTTCGAGAAACAAACCGGTTTTGAGATAAATAAGCATATACGTTCTAAAACATGTTAATTTTGCCTATGTTGAAGATGCAATAAAATGTACTCACTAAATTTGCAATCACGAGTCCAATCTGGATCAGTATTGGGGATACAGAGGGTGAAAAGTCAAGGTTTTTTTTTCAGTTGAATAAAATTTAAGCGAAACAGGCAAAATTAACATGTTTTAGAACGTATATGCTTATTTATCTGAAAAACGGTTCGTTTCTCGAAAAAACTTGAGGAGCAAAAATAGCCTCTAAATTGAACGATCTACATAATTTGATCACTGAAAGATGCCAGAGGCGTATTACGGAAAAGTTTGGGGGGAATAAGGAAGCGTCTACCTTCATAAACGTATCACCCTGTAGATTTTGAAAATCTTTAGATGGCTTGAAATGATCATCTTCTAGGAAGTATTGACCGCACCAAATTTCAAAATGATATCTTAAAAAGTAAGCGAGATATTTCAACTAATAGAAGAAAATAATTCAGCTTTGACCCCCTGTAGCTCCGCTATTGAACGAGATCGGACTAATGTTTATATAAACTTTTTTGATTAAAATGATGAGATCTATCTTCCATTTCAGTTTGTGCCTCAAAACCTGAATCACCCTGTATAAGGCTTCGTTTTCATTCTGCCGATGAGTTGATAAGATACGGGAGTTGCTCAAAAAGTGGGAATTTTCAACTTCGCCCTGTATTTCAAAAACATGAAGGACTGTGAAAATTCTGTTTGCGGCATTATTCGTATAGTAATGTGAAAGCCGCAACACTTTATCTCCAAAGATAACTGAGATATCGCGCAAAAGCATAGAAAACTGGACACACTGGACAGTCACAGCTAAACTGGCAAAACTGTATGTAAAATGACACTATCAGTGACAATTTCACAAATCTCTTGGCTACATACAGGGTAATTGCAATAATTATTTGATCTTCATGTTCAGTCTGCTGTTGATTCTTCCAACTTTCTATATATGGAGTGTTCTCCTTTCCCAATGATTATCATATTATTTCAGTTAGCCATATGAGTTGTTCATTTTCAGTTAAGACTTTGTCAATAACTAATATCTCATATTGATATTATTTTCTGTTCCTTTATCCTTCCTGAAAGGGCTCTGCTGGTTTCGGCTGTACAATTCTTTCCACAAACACAAAATACACTATATTATAAACCGGGTGACCCACTTAAGACCAGAATACTTTTAGAGCTTATTTGAATGAGTGTCCAGCGGAAATAGCATGAAAACTTTCAAATCAGTACTAATTTGCAAGATATAATTCCAGGGCATTTCTTGTCGAGAAATGCTTAATAAAATTAGCGATTTCTCGAAAAATCATGACTGTCACTGATTTCAGAAACCTTCAATTAGGATATTCTTAGAATTGCTTGGGAACATATATTTATTAGCAACTTATTCATAAGAATATCGAATTCAAAGACTTTGTTGAAAATGTGGCCAATCATCAGAATTTTTTTAAAACCTTCATAAAAATAAATTTCTGGAATTTATACTGTTACTGATGTTTTTGATGCTCATTCTGCTGAAAACCAAATTGAAATCGGTTTCAAAATGTGGATTTCATGAAAGTGCTCTGGTATTGAGTGATTTTTGAGTTTTGTATGTGTCAGAATTTTTATTTCTCATACCGAAATTCATAACTTCAAACTTATTACGAATGCGTTGAACGTTCGATTTCTTCCGAATATCCCGGGAATATAATGATTCAATGTTAGTTGCAACTGATAGTTGCCATTGGTGAGGTATGTTCTGTTTATTTTCAATCTCGTGGATTGTATGAACACTTCAAACTGTGATCTAGACACTGTCTGTCATTCAAGTACCATAATTATAGAAACATAAGCAACGTGATCATATTTCAATCAGGAGTCTCGAAAAAAAAAAAAGAAAAAGTTTGCAATTTATTCGTCGAATATAGATTTGGAGGATGGTCGATGCGACTTTTCGACTTACCCGGTAGAGACCGTCGTAACCATGGCCGTTGTCACAGCAGATTGGTTACCGGAGGTGCCAGTCTGGGATTGGGACAACGTACGGTATAACGGTGAGTTAACGAAACGCGGGTAGCTGTCCCGATGCATCAGCGTGTAAATTTGCAGTTGGGCCTCGTCGAAAGTGTGAGGCGTCGGTTCCACCATGTTGCGATTCACGATATCGCGCACAGTAGCATCCAATGACACCTAAGAAAAGTCACAACAGACCACGTGACAGCCAGAACTCATATAATAGTCGAGACTCATATAATAGTCACTCATATCGTAGTCATTCATATCGTAGTCACTCATATCGTAGTCACTCATATCGTAGTCATAACTCATATCATAGTCGGGACTCATCAAAATGATAACTCATGCCATAGTCACAACTCATATCATAGTCAGAAATTCTATCGAAGTTATATTTCATACGCTCAGGATTCTTATCATAATCAGCACTCATATCATAACTCATGAAGTCAGTACTCATATCAGTCAGAACATAATAATCAGAACTCAATCTTAACTCATAACATAGCCATATAACTCATATCATAGTCAGGAATCATCATAATCATAACTCATGCCATAATCATAACTCATATCATAGTCAGAACTTCTATCGAAGTCAGATTTCATGAGCTCGCAGGATCCTTATCATAATCAGGACTCATATCATAACAACTCATTAAGTCAGTACTCATAACATAAGAACATATAATATTCAGAATTCATATCATATAGTCAAAAATAAAATCAGAGTTGGAATTCATATCAGTCTGAACTTATATGATAGTCAGCACTCATGTCATGTTTATAAGTCAAGATATAATATCTTACGACCGAGTCAGAACTCATAATCATAAACAGAACACAATTACAACTCATATCATAGTCAGAACTTCTATCGAAGTCAGATTTCATAAGCTCGCAGGATCCTTAACATAATCAGGACTCATGTCATTACTCATGAAGTCAGTATACTCATATCATAAGAACATATAATAATCATAACTCATATCATATAGTCAAAGATAAAATCGAAGTTGGAATTCATAGCAGCCAAAACTCATCTCATATTCATAAGTCAAGATCATAATCAGAACTCATATATCTCACAACCGAGTCAGAACTCATAACCATAAACAGAAGACAATCATATAACTCATATCATAGTCAGGTCTCAAAACATAACTCATATAGTCACTACTCATGCGTATGATAGTAATATCATTATCAGAACTCAATCATAACTTATGTAAGCATCATAATCGGAAATAATTCAGATCATAGTCAGAACTCATGTATTCAGATCATAACTCACAACAGAATCAGAACTCATAATCATAAACAAAACCCAATCATAACTCATAGCATAGTCAGAACTCGAATCATATATCACAGTTGTAACCGGCATCATAGTCATGAGAATGGTGGAGGAGCCAAATCTCTCAAGTTGAAATCTATCGTACGGGCAAAATAAAATACATTTCGAAAAACTTCACGGAGTAAGTAACAAAAATCTCAATGTTAGAATTGTGTTCAATGAAGGAAGATTAATCCTCACCTCTTTGGGAGAGAGTATAGAGATATAGTCTTCGTATATTATTCTTGCCTTCTCCTCGACTACTTCAGGATTTGTTTCCCGTTTCAGTTCTTCGCAAGCTAACCAAAATAATATGTTTTCTTCCGAGTATTCTCCCCTCAGAAAATCTCTAAAAACTTCCCGTCCAGCTGAAACAAAAAATCCAATTCTACTTCTTGATTTCAATATTACTCGATATTTTTACAATTGCTGCATACACAGCAGGAACAAAATAGGATGAATTGAAATTACCTGCACTTTGCATGAGTTTGTCGAAAGATCTGCCCCAGCTTTGTATTTCCTCGAGAGACGAACTACAAAAATATTACTTCAGCTTATTCAGCTTCGAAATTCAAGAAAGAAACTTACGGTGGGTCCGCCTCACAATTAGCCATCAAGTCCGAGTTATTTGAATTTCTAGTAGGTCCGTTCTCATCGTTTGTTTTCCCACTAGGATGGGAACTACAAAGCAAAAATCATCATAATTAAAACACCGCAAATTGAAGTTTTGTATTTTTTATCGGATTTTGAATAATGGTAAAACAGAAGTGATGATTCGAACAACGCAATAAACTGTAATTTTTCAGCTATAGTTTACATGAGCACAAGTTTTCTTGGAAGAAACAGTTACCTTAATTACTCTAATTTCAGAGGTTTATCGTCGAAAAAAAAAATAGAAAGTATCATTTTAATTGAAAAGAAAAAAAAATGGTTCATTCATATTCGCCTCATTTTCAAGCAGGCCATGATATTTGCCAAATTGAAAGAAACAAATGAGGTTACCTACTCATATTGTAGAAGGAATTCCAACGAGAAATGACATTTCAAAATGAAATCTATATGTGAGTGACACTGGTACTTTTAGATCACAATGTATGTACAGGGTCTTCACGTATATTTTGAACCCCCCCTTAACTATTTTATTTAACATCGAATTTTTTTTTTTCGAAAGAACAGTCCTTTATAATTTTTCATGTAGATTTTGAATATGTTAATAGAAAAACAATTGAACATCTCAAAGATGTATACATTTTTAAATGGAACACCCAGTATTTTATTGTATTTTTAGATTCTCCCTGAAGAGCTGATTTCATCGATCTATCACAGTTGGGTTCTAGCTGAAATGATTACAGAGATATAGAGTGTGAAAAATTGGGATTTTTTTCAACTTAAGGAATTTTCTGGAATTTTGAACCACCCTGTATTCTTTTGAATTAAATGTCAGTAGATGATAAATCAAAAGTTGAGATAGGGACATGAAAACCGTTTTGGCCAATAATGAATAGTTTCGACACAAAAAAATTCCTAAAGTTGAAAAAATCTCAATTTTTCAGACCCTATATTTCTGTAATCATTTCAGCTAGACCCCAACTGTGATAGATCGATGAAATCAGCTCTTCAGGGAGAATCAAAAAATGCAATGAAATACAGGGTGTTCGGTTTAAAAATTCAATGATAAATAAAATAGTTAAGGGGGGCTTCAAAATATACGTGAAGACCCTGTACCTACCTGCAGAATCGGATTCCTTCGTCTCCCGATGCATTTTTTGGGCATTGTACACAATGTGATGGCATGCTTGAATTAATGAATAGCCGAAAAATACGATTTGTATGCCAAAAAATTTGTGAAAAACTATTTCAATTCTTTGTTTCATGTATGTAATTATACTATTGTTTTTTTATTCAACTACCAAAAGTTTAATACGGTCTGTAGGTTAATCGAGGAGGTGGTACATTCATTTTACTTGATTTTTTTGGGATTTTCTTTCCTCGTTTCTATGAAATAAAAATATTCTTATCATTTCAATATATTTGTAGTGAAACAAATCAGATGATTTGCCCCAAAATGTCACTGCGTTTAACTGATTGTTCTATCAGGTAGCCTTAAAGAAAAATCCAGTAGCTTGTCAGTGACACTTTGTTTGAAAAGATGTTTGACGAAAAGCAATACAGATATATTGAAAAAATACCGAATTTTTACTCATCTTAGGACGTTTCGGGACCGAATCTGCTCCCGTTCTCAACATGAAAATGCAAAATATTTTTCTTTGGGAGTTGTGCTCTGCTTATAGTTTGACACTTCTCAGTAACCAATACTGATATTGGCATATGAATGAGTGATTTTAGTCTGCAAATGAGTTACAGGATGTTTTCATCAATTGATCTATCTATATCAACTGAACAGGAAGCAATACTATTGTCTCCGTTCAGAAGAATGCAAGCGGATTCCTTGATTTTTCTTTTTTTGTTGTTATCTTCCTTTCCTATGATTTTGATATTATTCCACTCTGCCATATGTTGTCCATCTTCAGTAAGGCTATGTTCAGTTAGCTTCGATTTATCGATATTATGTCCTTTCTTGATATTGTACTTGTGTTCTTTAGTCCTTACTGAGAGAGGTCTTTTCGTTTCACCAGTATTATTATACTGGAAAAATCAAGGAATCCGCTTGCATTCTTCTGAACGGAGACAATAGCATTGCTTCCTGTTCAGTTGATATACAGTGTGTCCACCTTAAGGACTTACCACCCCTGTAAAATCGTTATTATCTGACCGATTTCGAAAAACATTTTTTTGTTGGATAGGTATTCGAAATGCCCATCCAACAAGAGAGTGATTTTATTCTTAGACTGTTATCACGGCCAACTGTGACTAATTTTAATGACCCATATTTCAGTAAGTACTATTAGGGATTTTTTTATAAAAAAAAAAATAATGATAGAATCTGAATCAGGATCAATTGAAACATACCTTTGCCGATTTTCATCATAAAAAAACACAGGGTGTCCGAAAAAACGAATTATTTTTTTTTAATAGGTGATCGGAAAATGTACTACTGTCGTATTATTGGAAAAAACCAATGACAAATTATCATTGAGGATTACTTTCAAATATATCTGTACCAATTTTCATCATTCGAATATACAATGTGTCTGAGAAAAAAATTGCAAAGGATATGTAGCAATATTTTTTATCATGATAATTCTTTGCTCGAAAAATAATAATAAATCCGGATCACTTGAAATATATCTGTACCGATTTTCATTATCATCAAACACAGGGTGTTCAAAAAATCAAATTATTATTCTTTTGAATTGATAGTAAAATATTACCTACTTATTCTTTTTTATTTTTTTCTCATTCATATCGTATATTTGAATGATGAAATTCGGTACAGATAATAAATATGTTCAAATTAGTCCTCAATGATGATGTGTCATGAATTTCTACCAAAAATACCACAGTACTACATTTTCTGATGACGTATTCAAAAAATAAATAATAATTCGTTCTTTTGGACACCCTATGTTTAATAATGATGAAAATCGGTAAATGTATGTTTTGAGTGATCGTGATTCAGAATCCTCCATCATTTTTTTCGAAAAAAAATCCCTAATAGTACTTTCTGAAATATGGGTCAATAAAGCTGGTCGCAGTCGACCATGATAACAGTCCAAGAATAAGATCATTCTCTTGTTGAATGGACATTTCAAATACCTATCCAACAAAAAAAAGTTTTTCGAAATCGGCCAGCTAATAACAATTTTACAGGGGTGGTAAGTCCTTAAGGTGGACACACTGTAGATAGATAAATTGATGAAAACATCCTGTAACTCATTTGTAGACTAAAATCACTCATTAATATGCCAACATCAGTATGACACTGAGAAGTGTCGAACTATAAGCAGAGCACAACTTCCAAACAAAAATATTTAGCATTTTCATGTTGAGAACGAGGAGAGAAAATCCCAAAAAAGCAAGTAAAATGAATACCAAAGTTTAGCCCGCAAATATAAAAAATAACTCAAAAAAAAAAAAAAAAAAAAACGAAATGTTCTCCCCCTTACCAGGGACACTTGCAGCAGCAGCACCACAGCAGGCAGCACGGCTTCGAGCGCAGCGGCCCGCCATGGGCGACGGGCGGCAGTCCGCCCCTGATCGCGTTCGGGGACGCGCCTGCGCCGACGCTGCCGCCGCTCGAGCCCCTCAATCGGCATCCGGAGGCGGCCGAGGGGGGGCCCGATCCGCCCTGCGCTCTGCTGTCCGCTACCCTCTCAGTGACGCTGCACGACATCTGGCGACAGAAGGAAGGATTGCTTTTCGGGGGGGGTTTTCTTAATTTTTTTTTTTTTTTAGAATAGGAGTATCATCTTTGAAATATCTATCGAATGACGACTAGTTTCCTGACTAATAGCACATAATATTATACAGGGTGTCCCGAAATTAGCCTGCCAAACTTCATCACCAACGGCCGAAGATGATATTTCTTGAGTATTCCCGAAACTCCATGTGATAAAAAGATGCAAATTGGTACAAGAACTGCTGGGGGCCTATTCTCAATGTCGAACGAAATATGTCGTATGCGACATATGTCGATAGAAATTGTCGTACAACGTTTAAGTGTGGTATTCTCGACTGCTTTCGACTTTTAACTCGTATGAGACAAATTTTGTCGAATAGCATGAACTGGCAACATCGAATTAACGATTGTTTCTTTGTTGTTATTATGGAGGTTATGTCAATGTTATGTTGAAATAATAATGGCAGTGGAAAGAAAAAAGTTATTGTGCTTCATCTCAAAAGGAAACACTCAACTCGAGAGAAAAATAGAATGAGCCACTTTTATCTGGCAAAATACATGCAGAAGACCCATGTCCCTGTACCACAAATGGTTCTAGCACTCAGCACTAGCAGTGCAATGGACTCTCACTTATTCCTTACCTAAATGTTCGTATATATTTTATGTCCGATAAAAATCCGAACGCATTCCTATATGATACCTACGTTCTCTCGTGGCCGTTGCTGATTTTCTTGATTTTCCAAATATTCAATCCAATCCAAATATTCAATAGTAAATTGGGCGTCCTGATTCCAAATCTGAAGTGATTTTCGACCTATTTGGACTCCTAATATCATTTTACGGAAATTGGGGTAGTTTCATGGCTGTTGGCGAGCAGTGTATATCACTGAAGATGACCCCACTTGGTCATAGAGTACATTTTTGGTATATCTCTCGCTCCAGCAAATTTCAGGATCCTTACCCAACGATTACGTAAGATACAGGGGTGGTTCCATTAGAAGTGGGTCACACTGTATATACACTGTATATCTTACATGATAATAAATTATTCTATTCTATTCTATTCTATTCTATGGTACTAGGCAGGAAAGTAAGTAGTTGTTTTTTGTTGGTTGGGCTATTAACCTCTCAAATGATTTACAATAGTTTCAGCCAAACTTTGAAGCTAAATATCTCCCAAAATATTTGTTTTTCGACAAAAATGTATTCTTTCATTTCGTTTTCTTTTTTCTACTCCTATCATCTGTTTCATTGATCGCCCCAATTTCGGAAACACCCAGTATATGAAGTAGACTGATTCGTCGAGCTGCAATTAATCACGGAAACGCTTTCCACCATAAAATTGAAAATTCATTACGAACGATAAAATGTTCATAACAGCGGTATGATTAATGAAAATTTTTATTGGGCTCTCTTGTCTAATGACCACTTTTTGTATTCGTTTTTTAATATTGCGTTTGTTTTTCACAAATAGGGTGTCTACTGATTGTTTCCGTTTCGTCCAAGGGAAAATAATATATTCGATAATATGTTCAATTGTCTAAATTCGATTCGATAACAACTCGACTTTTGTACTATACTTGTTCTACGATTGCACCCTTGTCCCCAGAATTTGGTACCATTGAAAAGCATATTAAGTTATCGCTTGATATGTTATAACTAAAATCGAGAATAATCAATACATCAATGAAAGAAAATGATATTTATCATAAATATTACCTGGATTTGATTGATGATGACTGATGAGACGATACTTTCTCATCAGTAATAATTAGTGATTGAAAATCTTGCATAACAAGCTGGTCCCTGTGTCACTCCGCGAATGCGCATTTGCATTACAACTCGAGTTTTGTACTATACTTGGCCTACGATTGCACCTCTGTACCCTAGAATTTGGTACCATTGAAACGCATAAGTTATTGCTTGATATTTGAGAATAATCATTACATATCAAAATTACCTGGATTTGATTGATGATGACTGATGAGACAATACGTTATCAACAGTATTTGAAATTGTTCTCAGAAAGACCAACGAGAACGTTCCAAGTTATGCTATTTAGAAGTTGTACGTTGAATATGAATTTTTGCTAATGCCTAGCAGCAAATTAAGGCGATAATCAACATGAAGTAAGTATGTGTTATCGCTCAACGGTCATAATCAATATAAAATTAGTTGGCAACAAAAAGATTGTTGATCAATACTTTTCAGATTTTTCCTGTTGTCGTGTGCAATTCCTGAGGTGTTAAACAGACCGGAATTCCAACATGAAATATTATAAGTACCTCATGTTTAATCTATCTCTAACCATTCGTACGAATAAAGAAACTCCGGTCTGTATATACAGAAACTTGTAAATATTTGCATAGCACGTAATAATGGTTTATATGTAGTTCGAAATAAATTCGGACTGATTCATGGAATCTATTTTGCAACACACTATTTAATCTAAATTTCCTGTGTTCCTGGGGAATTTGACCTTATGATTCATTTTCACTCCGATCATTCAAAACGTGCTATTTCTCTAAGAGTTTGTCTCCTTGAAGAATGAAATTGATCAGCTAATAGTGAATTGGAAATTATTTTCCAGGGTTTAGGGTGTTCCAAAATAAGCAAACAATCAGAAAAAAAAACATCATATTATGATTATTCTCCCGACATATCTTATTTTAAAAAGTGAGATAATAATTCATAGATACCTTCAAGGTACCAAGACTGAGGATTGACTACTCAATTTTGTATGGTCAAATTTTCAAACACCCTGTACATGGTCGAATCATTATCTCGATGGTTAGGTCCAATATACAGTGTGTCCAGCTTCGAGTGTGAGCACCCTCGTATTTTGGAGATGATTTGTTCATTTCATTGCCTCCTGTGATCAAAATTACATCACTGGAATCAGGAAAGTATATACAGGGTTTTCCAGAATGAAGTTGGTATACTCTGGGAGGTGATTTTATAGATAAAAATAATAAAAAGAGATTCAATCAACATGTGACCAAAAATGCCACCAACGGACGCTAAAGCCTAGGTGTATTTTGACCTTGCAAAGTTGAGCGTGATACTTGAAATTTTGCATTTTCAGGTAGTTATATTTCATTAGAATTGAATGTTGATTTGTCGAGAACATATTCGGAATGAAAATTGTCGGAAATTTCACAAACTTATTCACAGTGAATTTTTTCGGATCAAAATGAAAAATTACACTCTTCTCGAAAACGGTTCCTTTCACGGCATTCTAACGAGAGAACCTTTTTTATATAAATATGTATATGTAGAATCATATTATGGTACTAGAACTGAGATGAATCGTGAAATAAAAAAAATTAGGGGGATTTTTATAGCAACGGTTTTGAGTTTCGCACCTCCCTATATATTATATCATGTTCTCCGTACCACCAAAGTTTACAGAATTGATATTTTTAATTCTGTGAACTTTGGTACCACCAAACGATTTGAAAGATCGAATAACCAAAAGGTTTCAAATTTCGTGATTCTGTAGCGTCCTTAGAATGCATTTTCGGACACAAGTTGACATCAGGATATCGATATACGGTTTTGATCATTGCATTCGTCAAAATATAATAATTTCAATATAGCTTCCTAGTTTTTGTAATGCGGATCAAAATCCATAGAAAGTATTAGAATCGTGCAATATACTCCGAAATACGATAGTTGAACTAGAACCTCGAATTTTTGCATATTCTCAGCTTCACACTGCTGTTGTGGAATCTGGAATATTCTATGAATTATGGATTCAAGGGCGTATTCAGATACGGACCGAGGGGGGAAGGGCAACTTCCCCATTTGCACAATTAACATTGGGAGGTCTTTCTCTACCCATTAACGGCAAAGGTGCGTGAACGAAACTTTTCTGAAATAATTTGTTTTCATGGTCGGGATCAACATTTCATTTTTTTTATGATGAAGGATGAGTACAAATATTTTAGTTCAATCCAAAAAATTATTTTTTAAAATCTATGACAATTACTTGAAAATGTTATAAATTGATGCTGATCGCAAACTATCGGATTGGGATAACAGGAAAGAAGTCCCAAGTAACAATTTGGAATCACAAAAAAAAAGAATTATCGTATTGGTACTTTTTACTGCTGTTTATAGAATAATTTCATTATTTAGCACATTTATTTGGGCTATTTCATCAGAAGAACCTATGTGTGAAGCACTGGAGTAAGAGTACCCTTACAATCAGAATTATAAGTAGAATTTATTCTATGAATTTGAAGGTTTTATAAAGGCTGTATAAATATTCTCATGGCTTCCTATAAAATAATTTTATGGTGATAATATAAAGTGGTTATAAACGAACTGTTAAACAAAAATTTACAACTAGTTGTGTGGGTATTCTATTAAGACATTGTATACGTATTTTTAGAACTATATTATAGCAGCGTTATATCATTGAATGAAAAATATTTTGAAAATACCTTATAGAAATATGTTATGCTGTGGATTTTGACGCAGTTGAATGCTAGCACTATAGAAGTCTAATGTCTCTTAACGCAGCTTGTGGTGGTGGCCGCTGTTCACCAATCTGATCGACAGTATCGATGTGAATAATTATTGGAAAATTCATATAATTGCGAATGAATTTGAAATTTCACAACTTGAATTTCGTTCACAACTAGTATTGAGTCAACTGAAACGTAGTAGGCAATATAGTAATACTGGTGATACCTTGAATGCAGGACAATCTAACTCATTGTATGGAAGACCGTCCACTACAGTTCTACCAGACGATATTAGGTTTAATAATGAGATATATCAACAGTGCAAGAAAAAAATGTCGATCTTGTAAAAGTAACATCCTCATTCGAAAAATAGATTATTCAGTTGATGTAATGGATTTATATTTTTTCGAATGCTGACTTGTTGTTTTTTATGAATTCTAACTGAGCCACAATAATTGAAAACAAATCGAAATTTCAAATTCATCGTGTCTTGGCCCGTTAATGGGTTATGCTGTGTTGAAACGTATGAATAAGGGTTGCAGAAGTAAACAGTACTTAGTTCTTATGGTGGATTCATGGAGTAGTTTTAAGTCTTAAGTTTTAAGTCGTAAGTATTGAGTCATAAGTCTCAAGAAGTTCAGCCATGGCTTTTCAGAATAAACGTTCATACCCGTGTCATAAACAGTGATAAGTTTCAAGTCGTAAGAAAAGTTGGCCAACATTCATCTCTTATGACTTACGATTTAAAACTTATGCCTAATTTGCTCTGCGCATGAGCCGTGCGCCACCATTTGTGATCTTGGTTTTGTTTACATTTGCTTTAATCAAATCAAATCCAGAACAGATATTTGTAACTGCTCAATAATAGAAAAAAAACTATTTTGAATAACCTCAAACATGTATGAAATTGATAAACAATGAGCAAAATGTTGGTGTTTTTCTTATGGTATGACAGTCCTTATGATGGCTGCATGAATTACCATTTTTCCCTTACGACTTGAAACTTATGACTTAAAACTTATGACTTGAAACTTAATACTCAAAACTGCTGCATATATAAATCCACCATTAGTCGAGAACTGTTTGAAGTTTAAACGTTCGGAGTATGCTGGTACAAGAAAATATGGAGAACATGAATTCTTTTGGAAAACCTCGAAAATCACTGTCAGTGATGAATGCTTTTGGTAGTTTTCCTTTGTCTGCCACCTTTGAACGTAATTCTGGGTACGCCTTTGGCAGCCAATTTCCCGTTAGAAAACGATAATTGCTTCACATCACATATTCCTAACATAGAGTGAGCTGGTCCATTACTAGGTACAATAATGCATTCATTATTCGATAATCAGCGAATTCAGAAGTCAATAATATAGCAGAATCATGCATATTATGTATCATTAAAGCGACCCTTGAATAACCCTTAATGAAGCTTTGGCGATATGAATTTCGTGCTGGAGTTGTATAAGTGATCGATAACGCGTGTTTTCGGACGTCGAAAAATATGGAGGCATTATTGCTTGCAGTGGTAAATCCAAGGAGGGTACGGGTAATTGAAAATATGTTATGTTTCTTAAAGTACCTCAAAAACTGTTCCACAGTTATTCTTCAATGTTGATGGAACGATACTATTATTATGACGAAAATCGATGATTTTCTCTCTAAAATTTTCCTTGTATGTATATGTGTAGGTCTAGGTATAGGTCGGTGTAGATATGGCATTTTTTCTCAACAGGTTATTACAGCATGAAAAATATACATATGAAAAAATATTGTAGGTGAATTCACTAGAAAACAACTATACTTTCCTGAATTACATATTTTTTCGTGGAATGCCTCAACAATATTTCTTTCAATAGCTATATCGAGCTACTTCTAGAACCCAGATAATCTCAGATATCAGGTTACCTTCAAAATCTTCTTGATTTTCAAGAAAAAGTCTAAGCCACTAGCCAGCCTCAATTATCAATTATTATTATCAATAACATGAGAAACGTTCATTTTCATTCTTCACACTAATTGAAGAGCGTGAATGAGAAATTCGATTGAAATAATCTCATTATCTTAGTTTTTAGCGAGGTTTTTGGTGTAATACTTAAAGAACGATTATTGAGAACGAACCAGCAGCCAGTTACTTATACAAAAAAAAAACTGTTCGACTGAATGAAATGCCCGTTTGTGAAGTACGTTGGAATTGTCTCGCAAAAAGAGGATGAAAATGCCTGATCAGTTTTTTTCTAGCTGACTCAGAGAAGTCAATTTCCTTTTATCACCTGTTCATTGGATGAATTTCTGTCCAATGAGTTTGAATAATTTGGAAGCGTAGCTACCAGAAGAAAACTGTATTGGTTTCTACAAAAATTACAGAACTTATTTTGGCAATACTTTTGAATCACATATTTCGTTGTTATGTTTCGTGTGAGGTTATGAAAGTTGAGAGATTTCTTACATCACCATGGTGGTGAAGGATTGGTGAAGGATCGAATAAAGAACATAATTTACTCCAGGGATTGAGATTACCTATAAGTGAGATCTTGTATTAACGTGTTGATGGTATTCTTTCTTATCAAGGCGTATACATTAATTTTATCTACCACAAGCAAATTTTATCGATCTTTATAATGTTGTAAAGTGGAAATAAAGATCCTTTTTCATCCATGTAAATCTAATAGTCATGGCCAAAATCCTTAGGAGAATGGGGAAGACCACTGATTTTTTAAAATGACATTATCGTGAACTCTATACTGAAAAACTACCAGCGAATTAATTTTGAATTTTGTCATTCATGCTAAGACGATGGAAAAAATAAATTAGAATATGTCCATTTCAGAACACACAATTCCTGCGCCATTTGAAATATTGTCAATTCATTGGTGTGACTGGTGCGACGTCTTATTCCCAACATGCCTATTGTCCTTGAACTGACCAATCACGCTGCAACACTGCAGAATGACGATGTATCAGAGAGAGACAGCTACAGTTCGGGACTAATACGTCACGACTCCATCATCATATTTGGCTGTTTGAAATATCGAATGAAATATGCTGATTTCAAAACGATATAGATTCGATTCCCTTCAACTTTAACTCATAATATTGATTGTACATCAAACGTAAATCATGATTCGTCGATTGAAAGAGGTTTGCACGGATTTCTTCTCTCAGTGGTCTTCCCCATTGAAAACCAGAGAAATTGTAATTTGGTCTTAATTTGGTGCCTATACAGGGTGTAACAGGATCATATGGTACAGCGAACCATTTTGATGAACTTAATTTGGTGATAAATCGGGAAGTTCGGCATTTCTGACATGATTAAAATTTTTTCAGCATTACCCCTGTCGATATGAGTACATCGGACTTGATCAGAATAGTCATGGCACATTCGATGGAAAATCAAAAACGAAATTAAAATCAATATTTGAGATTGAAATGTCACTTATGTTGAAAATAACGCAGAATTCGAAAATGCAATGATATACAGGGTGTTTCATTTGAAAATAAAAAGTTATTACCACTTCCGCTGAAACCGGAAGTAGGAAATAAAATAATGTTCATGTCAAAACATGACGTTTATCAAGCTGATGGACCATTCCAAATTTCAATCACTTATCTCTAAAACTGAAGGATAAAAGGGGGTGTACCATGATCCTTTTACACCCGGTATACCTGGTGAAATATCAGATCAGATACGAATAAAAATATTGCTTCTCCCAGAGGAAGCTACATTTTTTTTTTTTTAGATGGCAGTCAATGGTAAACTATTTAATTTTGCATGGATATGGTTTCATAAACTCTTATTTGGATAAAGAGAAATGTAGCAAGCAAGTGAATGATGGTAGGTTCGAGGGCTAGTGATGGAGCAAAAAGTACCAATAGGATTCAATACCTCAACGAACTTCTGTGAATGAACCCTGTGAGCAGGAGGTACCAAGAGGTCGGAACCGTTGGTTAATATCTTTTTCACTGACTTCACCAACGTGACCATAATGACCTCTTGCAGCAGCACCTGAAAGACGAGAAAAAAAAAATAAAAACGGCACAAGCGACTCGCTTCCGTATCGATCGGCAACAGAAGTGCGAAGAGAGAAGGACAGTGTTGCCAATAGCTTTACCCGCTCTCCACCAGATTCAACTTCTGAAACCACCAGAAAACCAGTAACAAAAAAGGACCCCACTCTCATTCTCGCTAAATATTCTACTGAAACTTTTTTTTTTTACTTTTTACAGCAGAGAATGATAAGAGAATTAGTAATCACCGATAATTATTACGTAATATGATATTTCAATCAGAAAATCAACTCAAAATAATTAGTAAATCAACAATAAGTTGAAATCAGGAACAATAAGATCAGTTAAGAACAAATGATTCTTAATTAATTCGACCACTTCTGATTAATCTTTTTTTCTGAAACAGTTTTCAGTTTTGGGGGAAGACCATTGAGGGATGCAATTTGTCCAAACCTCTTTCAATCGTGTTAGTCCCGAACTGTAGCTATCTCTCTCTGATACCTTGCCATTCTGCAGTGATCCAGTGTGATTGGTCAGCTCAAGGACAATAGGCGTGTTGATACTAATACGTCACACCAGTCAGACCAATGAATTTACAGCATTTCAAATGGCACAGGAAGTAAGTGTTTTGAAATGAGCATATTTTGATTTATTTTCTTTATCGTCCTATCATGAATGAAATAATTCAAAATTATATTTACTGGTGGTTTTTTCAATATAAATAATCAGTGGTCTCCCCCAGCTACCAATGATGTAATACTATTCAACTCCTAGATAGTACCCATCATGCAGAGAGAGAGAGGACTTGAAGACGACGTAAGAGTGAGACGCGAGGCGCATGAAATCAGCTGATGGTTGGATACAAATTTTGCCACCATGCAAATTGCATTATAAACGTGATATTTCAGGTTATTTCAATTCGATCTGAAATTTTAGAGTGAATTTATGGATTTAAAGGCTTTGATGACCGAAGTCTAAAAATCCATTCAGGTTTTGGTTTTTATTCGACTATAGCAATAATTCGACACGTTGTTTCAAATCGATCATTTATCGCGCCTAGAGAAAGATGAAGAAACCAACCAATGAATTCGTTAAACAAGAGAGAGGCAACCATCAGCTACTAGCTTTCCCTTTTTTACGTGACTTTTAATGCTTTGTATTCATCATTATTACGTCATTTGACAGGTCATGGTATTTTGTCATATGAAACCGAAGTTGTTGAATCGTTTCAGTTGGAACCCGAGTTGGAACCCAAATGAATGTCATGAATTTGTTTGGTGAATCGAATCACTTATTGTTCTGGATGAGATCAGAGCTATGCTCATCAAAAGTAACCTAAAAGATAATTTGTGTGCCCTCCAAGAAACCGTGTCAACATCACGTTTTCTAGAATGATCAATTGTTAGATCATTGCTAACTATTCCTACAGAATATTCTACTGGGAATCTCTGCCTAATAGTGTACCTATGTGAAACATAGAAATAATATATTTTGTGCCTATTTCTATCCAAAGTATACATTTCCTGGCCTCATTGTAGTGTAGGGAGCAAAGTCGTACTTTTTCTCCCTAGGGAGGTATGTACGTCATCAATGGAATAACTCATACGGCATTGACGACCTAAACTATACAGGGTTATTCACATTATTCGACACGAAGCATTGTGGCTAAAGCATTTGGTTTTTAGATAGTTTTTTCTCTCGGATGAAGAGACCTAATAGCGCTACATTTTGAAAGTATTTTCATATTGTACTACAGGATGTGCCAAAAACACGAAATGTATCAAAGTTGCTATTTTTTAAATGGAATACCGTGTATATCATTGCATTTTTAGATTCTCCCTGAACAGCTGATTCAATCAATGCATCACACTTGGGGTCTAGCGGAAATGATTACAGAGATATAGGGTGTTCAAAATCGAGATTTTTTGATTTTTTGTGCCGAATTTATTCATTATTATGTATATCACCTGAGAAGCTACTGTGATAGCGAAACATGTTGTGTGTTTAAGAATTTTGTGGAAATCTTATCGTTTGTGAAGTTTTAACATTTTCCATGGATTTCCATCAAGTAGCGGCCGAGTCAATTAAAAAAAAAATCATGAACAGATACAGGGTGGTTCAAGATTCAGAATTCTGATCACTCTGTACCTGTTCCAATAACTCTACTACAAATTAAGAATATGTAGGATGCAAGAATGAAAATAACGTGCCTATATAAGTTATACTCTACCCTCGACTCTACCTAAGTTCTTAAATAAATTTTGTTTGTTAGTTTCATAAATAAATTATTTAAAAATGACTTGTTATTTGAGAAAGGCGGAAAAAACATATGTATAACATGGGCGTAAAGTGCCTTCTCCTCCCTTGAACGATTACTTATGATGAAACATCACCCTCGGGAGAAATAGTGTCAATTTCCTCTCTTGTTATACAAATACCTATTCCGAACATGTAAGTAGCTTAGTGACTGAGTGATCACATTTCCAGTAATTGAAAATTAATTCCACTGAACCATCAGAAAAATCCACCAGCCACTAAAAGGGAACGTCGAAACCAACAGTTTCAGCGGACAATCCACTAAGTTGGCAACACTGGATAAGGAACCGGGGTCCAAGGAGGGAAAAGGGCAGGCGGCAGAGATCGACACTAGAGTCTAGCCATAGCACCATAGCGAGGTAATATTGCGCCTGGCTCGGCGACACAAAAACAAATATGAATACGAGTATGAATATAAAAATATTTTTGTTAAATGATACATGATAATGATACATAAAGCAACTGCTTTGCTAGTTGATACCATGATACCACGTAAATCCATCTATCGAAGAGGCCCTATCAATCAGAAGTTTTACAGGGTGGTCCCTGGAATCATACGACACACCACAAATCGATTTATTTAGATAGAACACTCTACTTTTCATAATTATGTAGGTTTGTAGGTACATGAAATATTGAATCATCGTTCTCAATCACTCCATTCCTTAGATATCCTAATTATGCATAAGGTGTAACTATATTACGTCTTTGAATAATATTAAATCGCACAACTTTGAACACTGATGTGAGGATATATAATTCCACAAAAATACCCCCTTCCCTTGCAAAAATAATATCAGCGATCAGAACGTTTTTCGTTTTATTTTATAACAACGAAGAAAACTAGGGTGGATTTCTGAGAGTATGGAGGAAATGTGACGTTCAACCTCAAATATCTGGAAAATGCTAAAACTCATAATACTCGTAAAATAAAAAGTGTGTTCGAAATAGGAATAATTATGAAAATGGAATTTCGAACAAAAAAAAACAATTGAATTCTGATAAACTAAGTAAGGGGGCGGTCAAAAATAAACGAGAAGACTCCTGTAGTGCAAACAGGGTGATTTACGGTGAGTGCACATTAGACGTTTCTGGTGAAACATAAATCGAATCACTCTGAAAATTTGATAAATAGTAGAAACTGACATTATCTAAATAACTATAATTTTCGACAATGCGGTGTTGCCACTTCTATTAGAAAGTAGTAGCAAGTTTGATATTTTAAACGGAACACCCTGTATTTCATTGCATTTTTATATTTTCCCTGAAGAGCTGATTTCATCACTTGAGTTCTAGAGGGAATAATTACAGAGATGGAGTTAAAAATCGAGATTTTTCAACTATAGGAGTTTTTTGTGCCGAAACAATTCATAATTGGTTAAATCGGCTTACATGTTCTTATCTTAACCCTTGATTTCCTACTGGCATTCAATTGGAACAAATACAGGGTGATCAAAATTCTGAATCTTTATCCACCTCGTAGGATAAAATGTCAGTAGATAGTGAATAATAAGTTAAGATAGGGAAATGTGAGCCATTTTGACCGATAATGAATTCTTTTGACACAAAAAAATCCCTAAGTTGAAAAATCTCGATTTTGAACACCCTACATATCTCTCTTATCATTATTGCTAGACCCCAAGTGTGATGCATTGATGAAATCAGCTTCTCAGATGAAATCATAAAATGCAATGAAATACAGGGTGTCCCGTTTGAAATATCAGTTGCTACTACTTTCAAATAAAAGTGGCGATACCGCATTGTCGAAAATATTTTAGTTGGGTAGACGATGTCCGATTATACTCTCCATCTAAATATCAAAGTGATCCGATGTCTGGTTCACCAGAAACGTCTAATCTGACCTCACCTGTATACAATCAAAATCATGATTTCCTGTTCATCAGGATCTAATTCAATGCAATCGTCTCCGATTCTCCGACATCGGGTTCGAAAATTTCCGTTTTTGAAGTTTTTTCTTCTTTTCCGTTGAAATAAGTCGTCTTTGCGGCAAAATCGATTTAGGTTGACTAATTAGTATGTTGCTCAGGAGTAGATTGAAAATTAATAACGTTCTCTTCAGACCTACGCAATGCATCGAACACCTACCAATGATGCTTTTATTACGTTTTCAAATAAAACGACTAATAAAACAAGAAGCTCATGACCTCGCATGAGAGAATTTGATATAATATAAATCAAAGGGGTTATATTCATATATTTGGGCTCCGAATAATTTCAATATCAAACTAGATTTGAAAATCAAGAAAATGGATTAAATGAAGCAACGCATATTTGGAGCAGTGATTGTGGTGCTTCAAGAAAATTCTCTGAGACCGAGAGGATTCATTTTATCTGGGAATGAAGATATGAAACCTGTCTTACTTGAAAGAATCATAAAATCGTGAACCTCACGATGAAAATGTCTCCTAAATGTCTTCTACTCTCAAAATATTTCGATTTTCGTCAATCTTATTCCATTTTTTGACAACTGTCAACAGTCATTCCAGTCATTCCACATCATTCCATTTAGTGAGACTGAATGAAAAGTAGCAACCGGAATCGGTAAAGTTGCAAATAAAACGACACATCAAAATGATTCCGGTGGCGGAATCGGATAAATAAAACGCAACTATTGTTTCGCACCAACCAATATTGGTCCCGCGCCGCAACGCTTCTCGCGAGCATCGAGCCAGGCGCAACATTACCTCGCTACGGTGCTATGGCTAGACTCCAGCGAGATCGAGCCGAGCGTTCCCCAACTAAATAGTAGTAGGCCGCGCGTGTACCTTTATCAATGGCCATGGAGGAAGCTGTCGGCACACGTGCCCCCAGCAGCACCCGATGGACACGACCCGGCCATGGCCATGACGTCACTCACAGCACACTCGACCTACCCTCGGCCGGTCCCGGAGCCCCATGGGGCTGGTCGCTGACGGGGCGCTATGCCGTTTCGTGGGGCTGTCGGAAAACTGCGGCTGCTGCAGGTGTGGGACTGGCCGGACCGCGCTAGATGACTGGAAACGCCGGATCGGATTCGGCTGCGCCTCGGGGCCTGCGCGGGAAAGCGTCGTCGGCGCCGACGCCGTACGGGCGCCATCTGACGCGCGGCGTCGCTTCGGCGTCCGTTCTGAATAGCGTCTGCAAAGAGAACGCAACATATAAAGCGCGTGGTGGGGGAATGTTGCATCGCGTTAGAAGCGACTAGCGTTTCCTTACACTACAGTGTGTCCCACTTACCATGCTCACCATGGGTATCTTTTTAACGGTGAGAGATACGAGGTCGGTTAAATGACACCAAATGTGGACTTTGTCAAGGCCAACTATAATGTGAAAAAATATTTTGATAAAATCTATTGGTTTCTGTTTTATACGCAAAAAACAGATTTTGATCATTTTCATGTCTCCTCCATAACTTCTTTATTTATGAAAATATTCAAATAGGAATTTCACATTCTCATGGCAGTTTTTCAAAGTGATTTCGAAAAAAATATGAAATTTATACCAACTCTTCTAGAATTTGAGATATTAGCACCAACTTTAGTTTTTCAAATGTAGGTCATAGCTCACTATGACTTAGTTACAAATAGCTTTTTTTCTCTTACAGATGATGTGTCGCAGTAATAGTTTTGTGTTGATAACAACGGAGTTATCGTCATTTATACAAAAACAAAAAATTATTTGGAAGCCGCCATCTTGATTTTATAAATTTTAACAAAAAAATCATGATTTTCGACCTCAAAAACCCCCACTTACCAATTCTGAATGGAATCGGACAAATCTTGTCCGCCATCTTGGAGCAGCCATTTTTTTTAATTTCAACAAAAATTCCATAACTCCGATTAATTTGAAATTTGGCAGGTGTTCATAATTTCGGTGACAATACATTATGGAATTTTTGTTGAAATTTAAAAAAATGGCTGCTCCAAGATGGCGGACAAGATTTGGTCCGATTCCATTCAGAATTGGTAAGTGGGGGTTTTTGAGGTCGAAGATCATGATTTTTTTGTTAAAATTTATAAAATCAAGATGGCGGCTTCCAAATAATTTTTTGTTTTTGTATAAATGACGATAACTCCGTTGTTATCAACACAAAACTATTACTGCGACACATCATCTGTAAGAGAAAAAAATGCTATTTGTAACTAAGTCATAGTGAGCTATGACCTACATTTGAAAAACTAAAGTTGGTGCTAATACCTCAAATTCTAGAAGAGTTGGTATAAATTCCATATTTTTTTCGAAATCACTTTGAAAAACTGCCATGAGAATGTGAAATTCCTATTTGAATATTTTCATAAATAAAGAAGTTATGGAGGAGACATGAAAATGATCAAAATCTGTTTTTTGCGTATAAAACAGAAACCAATAGATTTTATCAAAATATTTTTTCACATTATAGTTGGCCTTGACAAACTCCACATTTGGTGTCATTTAACCGACCTCGTATCTCTCACCGTTAAAAAGATACCCATGGTGAGCATGGTAAGTGGGACACACTGTATACACAGTAAAAAAACGCTTCGAGTTGAATTCGCAGAGTATGTTTTTAGTGTTGAAATACTCTGTCAAACTCACTCTGATACTGCAATCAACTCTATAACTACACTTCTCGCAGATCATCTCCTTTGAAACTAATTCTAGATTGATTTTCCACTAGTTCCGTATTGAATTCACTCTATATTCCTGAAATTTCAATAAAATATCAATTCAGATAACTTCAATTCATAAAAAATTGGAAATGAACTCATACTAGTTAGTATTAACTGACACTAGTGTTGAATGTCCCACTCTTGTCGATTAAATTGACACACTATTATTGTTCGATTCAATTTATAAGTATACGATGAAATATCAATCTATACTGTTTCAGATCGTTTAGTCTATACTGGATAGTGAAATGAGTAATAATGATTATAGTGTCGAGAATATTATGATCATGAGACTTCCGAACATTGGAAATTTCCGGCCGCGAGAGCTTCGCTCCCGGGTGAACCTGAAAAAAATCATCATTGAAATAGCGAATTACTATTGCCTCCACAGTAGATTTTTCAAGGAGGAAGGAAAATAAAACATTAAAAAAAATAAAAGTGTAGAGAATCGTACGCTTTCTCGTTGCTCACTTGGTCATTGTAATTCTGGATTACTTATATGTACCAATCATCGAGTCTAAGGGTATCTGATCGTAATATGGGGAACATGTAATAAAACGTCATTTCAAGAAATGCAAAGACTGCAAAACAAGGTTATTAAGATATTATTCTCTATCAACTACTTAACACCAGCGAATACTGTATACGAAACAACAAAATTAAACAAACTAAATGAAATCCTAAATTTAGACCAATGTAAACACACATACAAAATAGTAAATCGCAAACAAAAAACAAATATAAATTTCTTGAACCTCAATGAAATACATAACTATAACGTAAGAAATCAAAATAACATATACCTTCCAAATATTCGAACAAATGTTGCACTAAATAATCCTATGAATAGGTGCATACATGTATATAATTCAATACCACAAGCATTTAAGGAAATACCAAATGAAAAGTTATTCGTTAAGGAAATTAGAAAGTACCTGAAAAATTCTACTGTATAAAAATCAATATTAATTCTATGAATTACTATATTTCCATTGTACATATAGGACAGAATGTTATTAGTTATAATCCCCGTTACCAGTATTTTCTACTGCTTAGGGGTTTTCTTGAATTGGGACTAATATAAGGAAGGAAACTATAATTTCTGCATAAAAAATGGAATGTGACTACTTTTTCGAAACAATCAAAGCTATCTCGGCCTAAATGAACCTTTTTCTTGAGGAAGGAAAATGTGGTTTCTACATAAAAAATGAGACTTTCTCCAAGCAATCTAACCTAACTCGGCCTAAATAAACCTTTTCCTAAAAAGTGTATGCATGAAAAATCACTCGAGAAAAAAATAAAAAGAAAGTCGACCCTTGCATAGGATCGAACCCGAGTCGCCTGCGTGCCGCATTTATTCACAACCACTGTGCCATTCGGATGCTTGAAAATTGTTGTATGAAGAAGGAATTCATAGTCCTTAGTTGCCCGAATAGGCCATATACGTTTCCACACCACGCGCTTTATTTCTTGCGTTCTCTCTGCAGCCGCTAGTTCCGTTCTGCCAAACGGCTTCCCGCCAACTCGGTGCGTCGCACAGGGGCGTACTACTAGATGTACCTTGGAGGGAAGGATATAGTTATTATCATTTTTTTACTGTTCAAATCATTGAATCCTTAACCGTGGCACATGGTATCTCCAAGGCATTCGATCGAGTCTGGCACCACGGACTCCTCGCCAAGCTAACATCTTATGGCTTGCCTCCCCAGCTATGTTCTCTGCTAGCTAGTTTTCTCTCAAACAGGTCTCTTCATGTAGTGGTCGACGGAGTTTCATCTGACTCTCTCATCATAAATGCTGATGTTCCGCAAGGATCAATTCTAGCACCAGCACTATTTTTACTCCATATCAACGATTTGTTGGAAGCAACTTCATGTCCAGTACACAGATTCGCGGATGATAGTACTCTCCATACCGCCTTCTCTTTCAGGGCTCCAATACCAGCCAGGCAAATCAAAAACGAACGAGGGAGAAATGTTGACAACATAAATATGGACTTGGCAACAATTCTCGAATAGGGATCCAATAATTTGGTAGATTTCAATGCAAACAAAACACAAGCATGCCTTTTCTCTAGAAAAGCTGATCTCACTGTACCCAACATAAGCCTGTCAGGAGTAACCATACCTTTGAAGACATCCATTTCGATGCTTGGTATCACTATCAGCAATAACCGTTCTTGGGAAAATCACGTGAGATCAATTGCTAAAAGTGCATTCCAAAAACTTGGTTTTCTGTTTCGGGCCAAGAGCTATTTCACTTCCAGTCAGCTGCTTATGATCTATAAGGCACAGATCCGACCTGTCCTGGAATACTGTTCCCATATTTGGAGTGCAGTACCCAAACATACCTTGAAACTGTTGGATTCTGTCCAAAAAAGGGCAATTCGTCTCGTGGGTGATGCCTCGCTCACAAACTCACTCACTTTCTGGAACACCGTAGAAAAGTCGGCGATCTGACTCACCGGTAAAAAAACCGGCGGGCACAAAACATTTGCCAAATTAATCGCCTTGTAACTTTCTCTCCCCCTCCTCCCCAAGCCTCGTCGAAATATTGATAGTCACCATTTATATTATTTCACATGTCTATATTATTGGAAATATATTCGTATTTTACTTTTTGAATTCATTACCCCCTCCCCCCTAACAAGAAGGTACCCTGGATCTGCCACTGGCATTCAGTGAAAATGGGTGACACAGGGTATCGGGCTACCCCTGTAACTTCTGCATTCGTTAACGGATATTTCTGAAATTTGGTACACTTCTATAAGCAACTATTTCAGATTTGATCACATAACAATCCAATATGGCCGATTTTTCTAGAAATGTCAGCAACTTTTTTTCCAATGGAACACTCAATATATTTTTCATTTTCTAGTTCAACAGGTCAAAATAAGTGCAATTTCTATGTCAAATGTGAAGTTTCCGAAAATGTTGTCATTGAAATTGTTATTTTATTTTACCTCGTGGATAAATAAGATGTGGAAAAAGCTATTCACAATGACTCCCACATACTAGAGAAACATTTGTTTCCTTGGAAACGATTTTTTGTGTCACTTATCGATGAATCATTTCAGTCACATCACATTTTAATCAAAAATTCAATTTTTTCAAATGGAACCCCTATAGCCACCTACACATACATTAAGGAAAAAAATGGCATCATTTTTGTATTTAGGTGCAGTAACAAATTATATATATTCAAAAATCAACAACTAGTTTCATGAATTTCCTTGCAGTTCAAATAATTCTTCAACAAAACATTACTGAATCTTGCTCAACTAATTGTGAAAAAAGTTCCTCTGTTATGTACGACTCATTGTGAATAACTTTGACCACATCTCATTATTTCTG